TTTTTTTTTTTTCGCTAGGAAAAGGGCAACTTTGTATGGTAGGTACCCGAAATATTAAAGGTACACACCCCATAATTTGATAGAAACTTTCTATTTGTATTTAAAACACTTTGGTAAAGAAATTTTTCAAATCGGTTAAGAAATGTAGAAATGCGAGTGTCTACAGAGCTACATCCATCCATCCATCCATCCATCCATCCATCCATCCCCACAGACCCGAAAGCGGACAGAAATTTTTTTTTCGTTTTTTTCCACTTTTCTCGACGTTTCAACCCATTTTAAGTGTAATTAAGCAAAGAAATTTTTTTGAAATTTTTGAGCAAATCCAATACGGTGGCCCGTCACCCTAGGGTGAAATGGAGGGGATGAATGAGAATTTAATTTCATTGAAAGCTGATGTACAAAAGAATGATATCATTCAGAATCTTCAAGAGAAATTAAAGAATTTCGATATAAAACCTTCAGTTGTGAGTGAACAACCAACGACTCAAACAGCAACCACTTCAATTCTATTCGGTAATGAACTATCATCACAACCATCAGCTGCTTCATTATTCGATGATGTTCCATTTAATGTTTCAACAACATTTGAACCACAACAAGAAGTTTTCGAAGAAATTATTTAACCAAAGAAATCTTATCTTTTGGTACGATAACAATTGCAATGTTGAGACACAAATCAGTGACGATTGTCAAAATGAGATTCAACAACATCTTCAATTAATGGAGCAGAGATTTGTTGAACAATCTTTTGAAATGGAAAGACAATGTTAGAAGATTCATGAGTTTGAAGCTTTACTTCAACAACAGCAGCAGCAGCAGAAACAACTCCCACCACCACCAGTTGATGCTAAAAAATTCTTTGACAATTCCTCAACATCACAAATGGCAGCCCTTGAAATTGAGGATGGTTGGGGTTGCGGTCAGAGTTGGGCGATCCATTTTCCGATACGGATCGCCAATCCAAAACATTTTGGATCGGAAAAATGGATCGGATCGGCGATCCATGAAAAAAATGGATCGAAGACCCGATCCACGTTCTATTTTTCCCGTGCCCTTTTCTCTTAAGGGTCAGATTTGTAAAACATTTTTCTACCCCTTAGTGTTTGAAGGGGCAAAACTACAATTTACGCCAAAGGGTTAGGAAACTTATTAGAAAATCGTAGTTTTGCCCCTTTGAAAAACAAGGGGTAGAAAAATGTTCTACAAATCTGACCCTTAAAAGAAAAGGGCATGGCAATTTTTTTTATATTGGATCGTGGA